CGATAAAGAATCGAATCGTTTCATAGAATCGAAAAGGGAATCGGAATCGTGAAAATCTTTTCAATTCCCAACCCTACTTATGTCCCACCTTTAAGACCATCCAGGAACAAAAACATTTATTTTCCCAGTTAGATATTCCCCCTTAAAGCTGGCACACCAATTAATGTTCATTCTCTGATGGCTGTCAATGTTCAGGGTGTTTTTATTTTCTAAATATTTATTTTCTAAATATGAAACAATATTTAATTTCTCTGCAACAGAGAAAAACTTGTCCAAATTCCCACTGCATTAATGTGTGCCGCCACGAATACTATTCTAGTTTTATTAAAAGATTCTCTTTTTTTTGTCTACCATTGCACCAATGCCTCCCTTGTGGCCACAACTGTAAGACTTTCCGTTTGTGAGTTTGCATTTGAAATTCAAACATGCCAATGAAAGATGTAAAAACTGCGCAGGCAATCTGTTTTGAACTTTAATAAATCGTTTTTCGAGTGGAAAGTACTTAAATTTATGCAGTTCGGTCATTAGCATTGCAATCAGCATATTCAAGTAGATACACACACAAATACTGCAATATGAATTGGACCTGCTTTGAAGATCGGCAAACAAGTTTGCCTGTGTTATAATACATGCAAACTTTTTGAGTATAGAGTAAAGTCAAACAAAGAAAGCAGCTCATCTTCTGTTAATTTCAATGATAATGATTAAAAGTTTGTGATAACCTACAGTGCAGTTCTTAGAAATTTTGAATACCTTAGACTAATAAAGGAAAAATAAGACAGTATAGCAAACCATTAAATATGTATTTATACAGTACAATACACATAGTCAATGCTTGTTACGTTATTTTTCTTTTCTTTTTTTTTTTGATAGCATCTTTCAGCTTATCTGCACTGTGGGGTCTGGTGTCTCTTATCTCCTAAGAATAGATCAGCTGATTGCAGTGGACAATAAAAGAGAATCATGATAAAACCAGGTATTTGTAATTTTGGCAGCGAAGGTAGCTCTTTTTATTTCCTAGAAAATAATGTCAATATCTAAAAATAAAATCAGTATTTCCACAGAGCATGTTGGCAGTGAGAAGCATAAGGTACTCCATCTCAAGGCTGTGGGTTTTAACAATGTTGGTTGGGCATCTATTACTACCAGCCGTTTTGGAAAGAATTTTGAAAATGACCATATTTGGAGGGAGCCTCTAGGATAAAATAAACAAAACTAAACGATATTAACAACTAATATCTAAGTGTTCAATTAATCAATATAGACATTTAGTTTTGAACTGGACTAGAGAGAAAGAAAGGAATAATACAACATATATTTTATTTTATTCATAGAAAAAAAAGAAAAAACTGAAGAACTCCAGGGTGGTAAAAAGTGGTGCACTCCAAATTGTAAATGTTTAAAGTTAATACTTAATTAACTTTCTTGCCTTTCATAAAGCTTTTAATTTTTTTTCAATTAGGAAAACCTGCACAAAGTGCTCTACAGATATTTTATTCAAGACAATACATGTTCTCCCTCAAGATAAATGTAGTTTCAAAGCTCTTTATTAGAGTACAGACTCGAGTGGGCTTTTTCATATAGAGCCCATCAAACAGACAGAAAGCACAGATACAGTACATCCCGTGAGTTACCTGGTTGCCTTTAATGGTAGCAGAATTCAGTTTCTCTTTTGGTGTGGAGGCTCCTTTCATTGTGCTAAATATCAAAATGAACTGGACCAAAGATGAAAACTGAGGCACGGTATATGAAATGCACACAAATATTGAGGCCACCATCAGTCATGCACCAATAAAACAGTATTCTCATCATTCAGTGTCTCACATAGTAAAAATAGGTGCATGATTTTTTTTTCCAGAAGATACACAATTCAACAATTAATTACACTTATGTCTCATTGGTACTACATTCTCAGACTTCAATTCCTGAGCAATCAGATATAAGCTAAGTTATAAAATACACAACTCTTGTTATGTTTGTGATCATAGTCAGATAGGTTAGAATATTTATCAATCATTTATATACAGCATGTATTTATATTTTTTTAAAATAACAACTTATTATTAAATACATCAATGTTATTCTCTGCAAATATATTTCTGTAGGGGTTGCTGACAATATAACCGAACCAGATGTTGGTACAGTCTGATGATCGGGGGTACGTTTCATGAAGCAAGGTTTACCGAAAACTCTAAGCTGTCTAAACGTGAAAACAGGGAAACTTTGACTTTTCAGGTTCTGATAGTTTTTTTTTAACCTGTTGTCAGAAAATTTAGATTTCTCTTCTATTTTATATTAATTTATCCTATTTACTCACTATAAAAGTTTTCATTCAGTCTGTTTCACTTTCAAGGCCACACAATTCTCTGCAGGATGGTGTTTGTACACCAGACATTGCTTCTTCCCATAACAAATCAGACTCTTTCTCAAGGTTTATTCATAACATGTTACTGTTTAACCAAAGTGTCTGTAATTTGTTTTGACTCTGACTACTTTTCCATTGTTAAACAAACCCTTCTAATGCAGAACAGGGCAAAATGTTGTGCCATAAGGGCTGTTTGATGAACTGTTCTCTCTTTGCAAAGATATGAATAAATGTGCCGACTGAGTGAAATCCATCAATCTCCTTTTATTTAACTAGGGTCAATAGTTGAATACTTTTTTTCCCATTACACAATTTCTGTTTCTGTCACTGTAGTAACACTCCCCAGAGCTAACCTTGTCGGTAGCAGGCTTTTTTCAGTAAACTCAGAATATCCTCTATCTCCACTCTGCTTACAGCCAATCACTTTTTTTATTTTCTGATATAGTCAGATTTTTTTTGTAGTTTTGTGCATAATATATACCTATATATGTATATATGTACTGTATATATATATATATATATATATATATATATATATATATATATATATATATATATATATATATATATATGTTTTTATGATATCTGAAAAAAAAACACTTTTTTCCTTGTCTAAATGGCCATTTCAAACAAAATTACATTCTCCACATCTAGAAAAAACATTCTAGACATTCTGGATGTCCAGAAATTAATTTCAGATCTCCAGATTCATTTGTATTATTTTAACTATGAAATTGAGAATATTTTTCAGATATCATAAATACATTTTTAAGCTGCTAAATGTCAGAACGGCCACTTAAAATATGTAAACTTTTCTAGATATATAAAACTTTATTCTTAATAGTATACATTTTTTTTCTAAAAATGTTTCTAAATTTTTCTAAAATTAAATTTCTGCTACAAAAATGATCAGGAAGAATCTTATTTTAGTGATCTACAAATGGCACAACAGAGAGGAGGGCTTTTAATAAAATGTAAAAACGGCCTGCCAAAGACCACTTCACATAAACTTATGCATTAACTGGACCAACAATCTTCTCCTTCGCCATCTTCCTTTCCTATGTAGGTGTAGCTGTTTCTCTGTCTTTGAAACGCGTTCTTCTTTTTTATTTAAATTTTTTGCATTTCTGCATTAAAATCTCTATTTCCAGTGTGGTGAAACGGGCACTTCCTGTTGCCTATTGTCATGGTGACTTATCAAAGGGGTGCTCCGCTGATAATGGCTTTTCATACATGTTGCGTAGGTGTCTAACTCTGAGTGGACCTAGTTAAAATTGATTGAATTAATAGATGGCATCTGTTGTCAAACCGAACACTCAGAGTTCCTGACTTTTGGCTGCATCAATTTAGAGTTGTGGATTTGAATTGTAATTTGTTACACCTGCTTCATGAAAAGGACCCCAGCACAAAGAAACCAAAACAAGACAATAAATACGTTTTATATGAAAGAATGTGGATAGACTTAGGGAAGAACTTTGACAAAAACAAAAGGAAACTCAAAGGGATATACTAGAAAGCCTAAAAATACCTGAAAGTTATTAATATCTTGAAAGTGACTCTGCCCCCCCATTTTTTACCAAATCACATTGTCCTAATTAGTCATCACTGATAGTCTAGAAAAAGATAAACTGAATTGAATTCAGTCCTTCTGCCTAATTCCCCATAATTAAGGAATTTGTTTGGCTTTGCTTAAAGCTACAGTGTGTAATAATTACAGGGATATACAGTCAGAAATGTAATATATTATACCGTAAATTCTCTAATATAGGCCCGGGCCTTTATTTCACTCAAGTGCATCGCGGTCCAGGCCTTTATTGGATAGAGGCCAGAATTAGAGACAGGCCTCTATTGCTATTTGAGCAAAACAGACTACCAGTGGAATGAAAAAAATTAGATTTTGTGTCTTTTTGAACCTATAAAACACTAGGTTCATTTATTGAAAAAGTACAGTTACCATGTCTCGCTTGGTTTGAAGTAAAAAAAAAAAAAAAAATCCTCCAATTCTGTTTAATTCTCCTCCTCAGTTTTTCTCCTCCTCTTCATCTCTCCCTTTAATCTCCTCATCACTCGCGCTCCTCCTGTTCTGCTGCGTGTCTGTTCTCTTCCTCGCGCAGACGGGCAGCAGTCAGGGCCTGTCGTCCAGCTGCGCAGGGCTGTGGTACTTGTATGTTACTTACTACCACAAGTATAATGTTGAGGTATGCCCAGAAAAAACGTTTATAGCCCCGGCCTGTATTAGAGACCGGCCATTATTTACCTCCTCTGACAGCGAGACCGGCCATTATTAGAGACCCGGCCGCTATTGGAATACAGGCCAATATTAGAGAATTTACGGTACATAACTATGTTATTTATCATCATCTACGAGCTCAGCCTCTTAACCTTAATATTTGCGTTGCCTTAGAATTCGTTATTTATAATTACATAGGAGCAGGTCTCGCAGCCATGGAGGCAGACATCTTTGCGCTACGGCAGCGCAGAGCCAACAAACGCTCGAAAGTTACTACGGCAAGTTGAAAGAGATGAACTGAGACGGTACTGAACAATAGATGGCAGTGTTAAAATTATCTATGTAAACAAACCTCATCACTTGAGAAGGTAGGTGATGCGGACGTCGTGGAAGACATTTTGTCCCGTAACGCTCGCCGTACTGTTGGGGGGGAGAAGCGGTGGGGGGGAGATGTTCATGTTGCTGCGGTCTGCAGTCTGAACGTTAGATGTCACTGAAAATTACACACTGTAGCTTTAATGTATGGAGTACTTCAATTTTATACCAACATATTTTGCTTATTTCATGTTGCTTGCCCACTTAGAAATATATTTACTGAAAAAGACATACAACACTTTCTCTTACTTCAGTGTACTTCAGTCCAGCAAAGACGTATATACTGTATGTGGGGTAGTTTTGATGGAAAAGTGTTTGTGTGCATTGAGGAACATTTGAGCTTTTGCATTCAAAAATGCTACATATCTAAACTGTACTGGTTGATAATTATAGCTGATAATGTGAATCATTATTCTTTTTTGCCCAATGAATTACAACTACTTTATAAAAATGCAACTTCTTAGTTTAAACATATGTTTGGTCTAAAAACTTTAGACCAAATCAGTCAGTTTAAAGATTTTATGAATAAAGGATAGTCTTTCCTTTTGCACATCAAATATTTTTTTTAAGTTATCAAATAAAACAAAAATCAAGTACCTTAAAGAGGGAGTTGTTTTTTAACAATTTAGATGATAAATAATATTTCACAGCTTTCCTCTAGCCTGCATTGTTACAACTGTAACAGTACAATAGTCAATCCTTCACCAAGAATGTGCAAACAGCATTTCACAGCATTAGAAGTCCATTCAATATCTCACATGGTAAACAGTGCATCTTTATAGTTATATGATAACTAACAATATGTGGTTCACTCCATAATAAAGTGGGAAAGCAATGTAAAATAGGTTTAGAGAAAGTGTCTATCGTTTTTAAAACGATTATCGAGATCTTGTGCCCCGAGTTGCTGAGATTCTTTAGGAGTCTATTTAAAACAGATGTTAAAACCATTTACAGCACAAAGGCGTTTCTCATTAGCTTAGTTCAATATTTGAAACATTGCTTTTAAAAGCATCCCAGATGAAATACACCACGGCTGTTGCTTTATCAGATCTATACAGTTTAAAGTATTTAGTAATTTGCCTCCACAAGTACTTTCTTTCATTCTTGCCGTATCCTGTAATCTGTGAAATATAGTTTTGTTTTGGCAGTTCCTTTCTTTCAAATAATTCTAAGCAAAAATATGTCAGAGGCATAGTAGCTCTGATGCCTCTTTTCAGTCTATTGCACTTCAAATCACTGTAAGCTACAAACAATGGAATTCACATTTATTTTGAGCTACATTCTGTCTGCTGAGATGGAGACATGTGCTCACAGAGTGAGAGACACATATGTGATTTCTGAACTGTTGTAATTATATCTACCACTCCAAAGTTCAACACTGGCACTCCTGCGTATTAAGTCTCTCCTGTTGCCTCTTCTCTGCCATCTGTACCACAGGAAGCCATGCTCCATTGAGGACCTCTCTGAACTGTCTGGGGTTTCCTCTTCCATATGTTCATGGGATAAAGTCACACTCTCCAGTACCTCCGTTATAACATCCTCTAAGGGAGTAACATCTTGAAAGTCTGGTGATGATGGTTGTGTATCAGGTAATGTAGGATCTGGTGTTGAGCTTGAGGGTCCAAAATCTATTTCCAGTGATGTATCTGGAGATACTGAACTTGGTGGGGAAATTGTAACTGTGACTTGTGGAAAAAGGACCTCAGGTAATTGTGAGGCATCATCACAAGCATCAACATCTGGTAAAGGGGAGTTCTGAGAATCAAACTGGCATAGGGTGGATTCAACATCATCAACATTAAATGATGAGTCCACACTCAGGTTGAAAGGCTCTGGTTCAGGATCCATAAACACAGAGTCAAGGTCATCTTGATCCAGGGAGGTTAGCATGACAATGTCAAAGTGGACCAGATCAGCATGGTAAATTGGGGCATTATCCAATGGTTCTGGTAGAGGTGGCCACTCTGTGTCTTGGAATTCTGGTTCAGTGTTTTGTTGAGACTCTGCTGAACTAAAAGCAAAGACTGGGCCAGGTATAACTTGCTCTGAAGGGGTTTCAGAGTGAAAATCACTACTGGAGACGCTAGGCGAAATATTATTGCTGCTATCTGTTGGACTTACTGGGGGGTCTTCGTCAAAGTGCTCTGACACCACTATGGATGGACATTTGAGGAAAGCCTCTGAAAAGTAAGGCATATCATCATGAGCATCCATTGATTTTGAATCAGAGTCTTTATTGAGAGGGTCTGATGTAGACTCTAGGGTTATTTTTGATTGTATCACTGTTGAATCAGAGGGATCATATTCCTCTGCTCCTGAAAGACACTGCAAAGACACTGTAGAGGGGTCTTGAGGAATGGGTTGTGGCTTGTCAACATTGACATTATCAGAAGATTCTTGATATGTTGTTACATCATAATCATGTTCTTCTGGTGGAGACACAGTAACTGTAGGAACAGCAAATGGTAGTTTTATCTCATCTCTTTCAGTTTGTTCTGTAACTTGGGATTTTCTGTCATCAGTGTGAGATTGTTTAGAATGTGAAATGGACTCATTAGTTGGGCCTCTATCTTTGAGTTGAGGAGTGAAAGGCATTTCTTGTTTCATTGATGATGACTCTGGAGAGCTTTCGAGAACTTTTTCTGATGAGAGTGATATTGTGTTTTGTATCATTACTGCCTCATTTGTGAGAGTAGAAGATGAAGTTGCAATATCTTTGTCTGACTTAGATATGGAGGAAAGACTGGAATCATTTAACACTGGTTTAACTGCTCGACTACAGCAGGGAATTATTGGATCCAGAGAAAGAGGGATGGCACTCTCTACATACATGGACTGCGGACAAGCTAGAATGCTTGGATCCATTGAAAGCTGTTTAGGCAAATTTCGACGTGAACCTTTCTTTTCCTCCTCCTCTGGACAGTTGACAGCTGCATCTGCAGTACTTTGTCTTACTAGGGCTTTGCTTTTGGCCTGAATCCCTACAGACACTTTAGATATCTGGGGATTTTTATCTCTTGCGCCCCCCGTACTTATATTTGTGGGAGTGGTTGCATCTTCTCCCTTGCCAAGTCCTGTCCCCACTCTTGTTCCTGTCCCTGAACCAGTAGCAACTCCTTTGCTCAACGCTGCACCGGCTCCTGTTGCCATTCCACCACCTTGAGGGGACCAAGTGTTGTAATGCTGTGTGAAAGTGTTGAAATTACTGTTGAAAGCACGAAGCTCCTTACATAGATCCCTTCTGAGCTCTGCCAATTCTCGTCGCATGGCGGAAACTTCTTCCTTCCATTGCATGCTGATAGCTGCAGCCAATGTAGCAGATTCTTTGATGCTGGCCTGGATAGCTTTTGGTGAAGGTCTTTCAGGGGCAGTGGATCTTGGGGATCTAAAAATGCTTGGAGAAACAGGTGGTCCAGACAATGGTTTCGCTGTAGCCCCAGCATTATCTTGATTGTAAAACCTGTCTCTTCTGATGGGGCAGCCTAGATCATCATGTGCCAGTGGGGCTGCATCTGCATCATCCAAATCCTCAGGTATACTGTCCTGGTCAGGTAAACAAGTTTCTTCCTGCACATAATTTTTGTCTGCAAGACAAATGTAAATATGTTTGTGTAATATGACCCCAGGTGTGAGCAGCTGGAGATATTGTGCTTTAGTTTATTACCATTATGTCATGCTGCAAATTTTATGAGTCAAAACAAGCCATATCTAAAATATCAAAAATGCAAACAATAATTTAAGAGAATTCCTCCAATTAGCTCCTCAGTGAAGTTGAAACTTGACATGAGCATATACTGTACAAGAAGACACAAAACCTTTTTTATTTTTTTGTTTAGGTGTTTTAGGTCAGTTGGCATTAAAAAAAATATAAATTTCCTTTGCTAAATGAAAAAAGAAATCAAAAAGGCATTTTCATAGAACTCTTTCTATTACTGTCTTTAAACGCATAGTTTTACATCTATTAAACTGCCTTTAAAGAATTAAAAAGAGCCATAGGAATGCTGCAATGCTTTTAAATGCTACAACCAAAGGCACACCTGTAAAGGTATTTTAAGACTCTACAACCACAATGCTTTTGTTTTAAAGAGAGAGCCACCCTTATAACTGAAACAAGTCCTCTACAATCATGGACTGAAATTCCCTGCAATAAGGAAGAAACAAAATCATAAAAGAGGCCATATAAGACTTTAAAAGGCTATTAATGTTTTTATTTTATTTTTTGATATTTTCTATGCTTTGAAAAAAAAACATATTTTTGGCATACAATGACCGGTGTAACATTTGCAAAATAGGCGACATCCGATTTTTGGTTGAGGTGACGCTTAGGTGTTTAATTCTTTAGTCCCTTCCAGTGCACAAAAATATGACATTTGGAGGAAAGAATATTATGGCTATACTGAAGCAGAATCTCAAAACATTTCTCTTTCACACCTTAGAAGTGGGTACATTTGTGCAAAAAATAGATTATGAGGGTCAATAAATCCAAAGACACTTTTAAGGTAGTCAAAAGAGAAGATTCAGTTACACCCATTACAGTAGGGGGAATGGGTAATTGTTACAAAATACTAACTAACTGAAGCTAACTCAAGTTTTTTTTTTTAAAGAATACCTAAAGCACTGGATCCCAGTTACACAGTTAAATTCTACTTAATACTTGGGAAATGTATCCAAACCTTTCTATTTTTTTTTTTTTACATTAATCTGGCATTTAGCAAATTGGGATCTTTTTGTTTCTTAAAACGGACCTAAAAAATGAAAGGATTAGTCTGGTAAAACAAAAGGAAAATAGGTTTATGTGTCATTCTATACATTGTATGTTCATATCTGGTTTCATCTTTAGATCACTGAAGAGGAATTTCCACTTTATAATTGACAGTCACTGAAACATGGGTAACATTATTAGCCACTCCTGTTTTAACCCATTTCAAGCATTAGGTTACACTGCCTTCTCAACCTTAATTTGTAGCATGCATTCTCCACAACTTTTATTGCACAAAGCGGATTTAGCTTTTTTACTTAAAAGTTCACCAAAGAAATAACTCTGTAATAGAAATAGCTTGAAGGAATAACTGTACTTCTCTTTAGCTTTGGATGGGAAAGAAACAATAAAAAAAACTTTGTGCAGTAAAAAGAGTGAAGGTGAGCAAAGCTTTCAACATTCTTTTATTAATCAGGAAAGTATAGCATGAACCCTATTGAAAAAGTGATATTCAATTAGAATAACTGAATTTAAGCTCCAATTGCTTTTAGATAAAAAAGCAGATGAATAAATTTAATGTTACTGCATTACAGATGCAATAATTTGAGTATTGAGAAAGCAGTGTAAGCAGACATTTATTTAACCATGAGCACACCTCCAGCTGTTCAGACCTTTAACTCTCCCTAAAACAACCCCAGCTTATGTTAGCTCTTTAAACTGCTAAAGTCGGCATCCGCATCCATCCATACTTCTTCTCTGAGCCGTTCTTTAAATTTTTTTCCACATACAGTATTCTTCATACTTTCAAAGCTTTTGTTTCCCCACCAGTAAATCCACCAGCCGTGAGAGAAGTTGAGAGTCAGCAAGTTATATCTCAGGCTCAAGTAAACAGCATTGATGTTTTTCACCAGAATTAATATCACTTTACACTTCTTCACACATTAACAAAGTTTAGACACGATAACTGCAACAGTTACTGTGCTACAGTCTTAACTTGGAATAGAATGTTTTGATTAATGCAATTGCACCGTTTGTTTGCCCAGTTTCGCATCTCCAATGTTTTTCTAATAAGCCTTTAAGCTTTATATGGGAATAAAAAAATAAAAAAACTGTTGAGTCCCTATTCTGACTTGATTTTGCTTTTAAAAATGTATGGATTTCAATAGGGTTCATAGCTTTACTCTCCGATGCATTGAAATGATGAGCAAATCAAACACTGCATCCAAAACAACGGCAATTCACAACCTCTAATTATAGTAATCTATGAAAAATGAAGCACAGAATGATTCATGCAGCACATGTTCAAACTACTTTGTGCTAACTGCTCTATAATCATCTATTATCACATATGTTTTTGTTTTCATTTGCTAGATCTTTTTTTTTTTTTAAAGGACCAACTTTCATGATGCAATTACTGGATTTAAGATGCATTCCTCACCTGTGGTTGACCTGAGGGTAGAGGTAACAGTGGATGCCATGGGGGGTATGCAGTCATCATCTTGGGAGTATCCAGCCTGGATGGCTCTTAGGTAACTGTGGCTCCTGGTTCTGAAACAGCCAGGAAGGTCCAATGCATCCATGGCTTGAGATTCTACCTCACTAAACACCGACTCGCACACAGATTCAAACTGGCCATTTACTTCCGTTTCACTAACCTGAAGGAAATGAGAACCACAGTTAAAGGAGGCAAAGAGCTATAAAACATACAGAAAATAAAACAGTCAGCCTTCTCATTGATTTTCACAACAGATGATTCATTTTAAATGTGCTTTTCTGAAGCAGAAACAGCCCTGCAAATGCAACTATTGATGATATCACCTGTGAAGGTAATATCTGGAACTCTAGTCTTGTTTCCTTAATATAAAACAATACATTTTAAATGGAAATGGATCTGTGACTTCTAACTAGCAATACAAAAAAGGATGTGGTGCAAAGATCATTTAAGCAGAAAATGTGGGCGAGCTTTAAAGAAGTAAACACTGGTAGCGAGGACTAATTATACTTCTGCGTTAAAAACACTTTCTGAGTGAAGATCATAAAAACATAGCAATTTGTTTGGAAACCCCAGACTTGAAGGAGTGGAAGAAAAATAGAGCGGGTACCACAGTTTAGCATTACTGCCACTTTAAATAGGGACAGAGAGATATTACTGCTTTTTAGATAAAAGCGTACAGGCAGACAGTTTAGAGAAAACTGCTGAATCACAGTATGGGTCCATAATCCATAATAAAATATATTTTTGTCATCAGCTGTCAGGGAAACTGGGAGTGTTTCCAACAGCTGGTATCTGAGTTAGGCTGTTTCAACACAGCAGGCTGGAAGGTGCTCTGTAATGACACCAGGGTTACTTCAAATCAAGTAAACAGAGAAGTTGGACAAATTCTGATCATAACAAACAGCTGTGACTGAAAAAAAAAAGGATTTTGAAGCATAACAAAGTGTAACACGCAACAGAAATAATATGTTAGGTTTGATAAATACAAAACCTGTTGCAAAATTTTCTTAATGTTGACTGCAGCATCAGGAAGTATATAGTAGCATTAAATGATGAAATTCTATCAGCAACTGATCTAAAAATCAAATTGGTGCCTTTATGACGCTCTACCTTCTATTCCACGGGTTCTCAAATATTTCAGCCCACGACCCCCAAAGTAACGGTGCAAATGACTTGCAACCCCCAACATAAAAATTGCGCATCTATAGTGCATGGACGCAACCGCGCTCGCACTAGAGACGTATCCAAACACGAGCTAATTGACAACACAAAATAACACAAAAGCCATAACATTGTTCTACCGTAATTTACTCCTTATTTTAATTTGAACTTAACTTCACCTAATGAGATTGATGTGCAATATGTTTGGAGCATCTAAGTCCAATCATGTTTATTGTTGGAGACCACTACTCGGAGATCATTCCTCCACATTCAATTGCAATCTGTATTTATTTTTATGGTACATCAGAGCCACTGGCGACCTGTCCAGGGTGTACCCCGCCTCTCGCCCATTGACTGCTGGAGAAGGAGGGGGGTCACTCCAGTGGCAGGAAGTTGGCTGCCATTCGGCTGGCGTTTGACTGGGAACGACCATTTTGAATGGCAGCTACTGTATAAATTATATTTATTAAATCAATAAAAAACACCGTCTTCAATTTCTTTCACCTAAACCTTGCAGGCACATTACAGTGAGTTTGGTTCTCTGAATATAACAGACAATGAGAAATGAAATTCATTTATTCACTTATATTACTGGCCCTGATTTAACTCGGATGTTATACAGATTAAAAACTGTTTGATATTCCCATCTGGTAATGCAAAGGTCCCTGAAGCTAAACATCTTGCTCCACTGGGATTTGGACTTAGAAGGGATTTGAGGCTTTTAGGACTTCAAAGAAATCAATAAGCCTCTTAAAAAAGATGAATATCAGCAACCTGTTCAGTGTCTCAATTAATACAGATAAAGTAAAACAAACGGCCAGGTAAAATATGTGTTGCTAAGTTAAATCAGAAAAAAAAATAAACAACTAAATGCAGATTGATAGATATATGCTTCTTTTTTCTATCTTCTGTTTTGTGTGTGAAGAGAAGTGTCAATATATTCTTAAGGTGTCAACAGTCTCTATTTGAAATAAATGTTGCAGAGTTTAAGGAGCACACTGACCTGGCTCACTTGGCTGACACAGCTAGCCTGACTAAGCGTGCTGACAGCCCGCATATAGCTCTGGTTCCGGGAGCGAAACTTGGGTGAGTTGTAATTGGTAGAGGGATCCAGTGCGAGGCTGGGGCGTATTTCCCTGGTGGCCTGCAAATGGTAGTTCTGACTATATGGGCAGAGAAAACGAGAAAAGGGCAATGAGTGTGTGTGTTAAAAAAAAAAAAAGGAACAAGTAAAGTGCAGTGTAGGTTATTTAATGGTGTTTATGTGTACCATAAGACAGATTCTGAGTGATATTTTGTCTCTCATCAGGGAAAGCCCTTCTTTCTGATACAGTAATGTGCTCACTGGTGTCCTTTGTAAGCCAGTTCGATTTCAGCTGTGCTGAAACATCCGATCAATGCTTGGAAATGAGGGAAATGCAAATCAGCAGCTAGTTAGCGAGCAATCACTTCAGAAAGAGCACCATAGAGTCAGCCCTGTCAATGAAATGTTCTAGGTGAGAGATGCTCAAAAAGCCATTACTGGTTAGTAAACCGGATGGAGAGAATATGAGGAAGAAGGGAGCTTTAGGTAAACTGAAGAATATGGTGTGAGTGACTTTAAAGAAGTACGGTTTGGTCTATTTCTAAAAGCAGGCAGTGATGATTAAGCTGTTCCTTGGCCTGTAACATAGATAAACACATGTTTGGAAGCAGGACATTATAAAGATGATTTGAAGACTTCAACCAAGAAACCAGAAATGCTAAGAAATGCTGTAACTAGCTGATACACCTTCTAGTACATATGTCTTTAAACTATTTTTTACAGCTTGACATGTTGCAACCTCTACTGTAACTTCTTTTTTTCTATTAGAATCTTTTTGACAAATGACAACAGATTAAGGTAGATTGAATAGAGGAAGGAAAATTACGAGTTATCAGTTAAAATTATTTTACAATTTAAAATCTAAACACTTTTGCAACTATTGAGTCTCTCTGTGTGTTTTTAATCAGCTCTGAAAATCCAGATACTGATAGTTCTTTTTTATGTAGAATAACCAAGCCAGACTGAGATAAGAGGTTAATAGGAAGAAAAACAGAGTGGAAATTGCAGTTTTTGTTGTAATATGAAAGTAAAATTATCTTGATCCACAGGTGTTCAGGTTTTGGATATACTTTGTGCTTGTGTTTTTATTGGAGATGTCTCACCATCTAAAGGTGTTATTTCTTTTTTTAAACAGAGCTGTGTCATATCATTCTTTTCTTATTTTTTGATTTTTTAAATTATTTGTGTTACCTGAGCTTTGTATATCATAATTTATTTCTCTTAGCTCATTCGAAGCATGGTTAGTATTTTTTGTGCTTTTATAAATAAAAACCCAGGCTTAACCTTTCCATGCATTTAAGCTTCATCCATCCATCCATCCATCCATCCATCCATCCATCCATCCATCCATCCATCCATCCATCCATCCATCCATCCATCCATCCATCCATCCATCCATCCATCCATCCATCCATCCATCCATCCATCCATCCATCCATCCATCCATCCATCCATCCATCCATCCATCCATCCTTTAGCATGTCAAGCAGGAAGCTATATGAACACATTGCCTTTAATGAGCTCATCTGATTGGTTCCTTTATTGTCTCCCATATCTGCTTCACTAATTAAGCTAGCTGTTTTTCATTTAATGAATTTTATTGCATTTATTGCTGGATACTCAACAGCATGATGCTGCCTCCACCATGTTTGACCATTAGTGTTTTTTTAATAAGGACAAAATATTCACTTTTCGTTTGATCTAATCAAAGCATCTTTATACACATATTAGCTTTAATCATGGCTTGTGGCACATTTCCCAAAATCCAGTTACCCATAAAGGCTAGATTTGTGATGAACTGAGCTGTGACTTTTTTTAAACTTTAGTTTTAAACCTAGCCTTTGCATTTCTTTATGATTTTATTTCTAAATGAAGGGGTGTGTTCCCTTATCTTATGATGCAGTTCTACAAACAAACAAACAAACAAACATCCAAGCCATTCACAGAAGTGTAACGTTTAAAGTAGGGTTAAATTATACACAAATGCCTCTGTTTAGGCTGAAGTTTGTACTGGATTTTATTTTAGGTTTTTAGAACAAAAGGGGCGAATAAAATTACATGCCTCACAATTCGGTTTTTACTGAGTCAAAATGTTGAAAATAATGCTTAGAAACCCAGTAAAATGGGAAAGAATTTAAAGCAGTGTAAATAGTTTTACAAACTATGATATGTACTATATAATGCCATTATTTCTACAGCATTATTATGTGAATAATTTGTTGATAAAATCTGCTTTATTTCAGTTAAAAAGCCTCATTGGTACATTGTTCCTTGACCCTTCATTTAATAGGGTTTTTTCTTATTTTTTATGTCCAAGGTGTCAATATTTAGCATATCAGTGGAATCTGATCGCTGAGCACATGCCAGCAAGAGCTGAGTAAGCTTGTATTCACCTTAAGTCTGCAGCAAAATTGGTGATGTAGTTATGCATGTCACTGTTGATTTTATCCAGGCGGTAAGAGCTGTGGGTAGAAAAAAGAACAAAGTTACTGGGTTCTGCGTGTGGTTGCTAGATGGGATGGGTCAATCAGCAAGACTCAGATGATGATAATACAGCTCTTAATGGATTTTGTAACCCATGGAATGTTTGCTTGGAAGTTTTCACCAAAGTGCTGCAAACATTAGGGTGATACAATATTAACAAGGCGGCCCTAGCATGATGACAAAACAAGGAGAGTGTCACAATCAAGATGAAGAAAAGGTCCAGAATAAATAATGTTTAAATAGATAATGTGTATACAAACACCAGTGATGTACAGTATAATGAGGATGATGTTATTTTTGTAATCGCACAAAGATTATATCTGACTGACAATATTTGAAGATGAAATGCTGTCTGCTCAAAACAATCAGACCTAATCATAAACCACCATGCTCACTCCAGTAAGTGGATAATCCAAAAAAACATCCTCCTGTGGTTCTACTGTACTGCAAAGAAATGTAATAATGCTTTTAACCCACTAGATCAGACAGAAGCGAGCAGCCAACGGTTTAAAATGTGCATTACCCTGCATGTAGAGATATTATCATTAGCTAAATGAAATCTATTTTGAGAATGTGTTGGAAGCTTTTTATCAAATAATGTCATAGCAAATTTTCCTCTAATGTTTCTGATTGGTGCTAATGCACTTCCATTGTCTGCAAATATCAAGGCAAGGACACAATCACCTGCCTTTGTTGCTGCAAGCAAAAGTAGGTTTTCTTTCAAATATACAAGAATAAGCAGTTCTTTTCCTAAAGTTTATTTCAGGAAAAGAACTTCTTGAAGTATCATGAAATTTTGAAAGAAAATCTGCTAGAAAAGGGAATTTGTGGTTTGTATTTTTGGGGGAAATATACACATCAAAACAGCTTCTGGAAAATAACTTTTTGGGGGTTTCCAGATTAATAGAAAGACAACATAATTTTTTGTTTTTTGGTACCGGTAATTCAGAAAAATATTATTGTTTTTTTGTTTTTATATGAAATTGTTGGCCAGAATAAATAATTCAAATGAGACATAGCCATATTTAATAAATCAAATGACTTTAGGCTTCAAACATCTTTGTTTTCTTAATTTAAAAGAATAAAAACTATTTTTAATAGCAAAAAACAATGCTGTTGAAAACCCGAATTTGATACTTCCTCTTGCTGGAGGTTGTTTCGCAGGCTTTGAGCCTTTAAATGTAGGGAGAGGAGTTAGGGTTGGGTCATTCCTGCATTCACAAGACTTTTTTTCATTTTAAAACAACAAGAGTCAAAACAGGTAACAGTAAGGCTAAACAGAGTGCAGCTAAATTTCTTTACTGAATCTTTGTATGTCAAAGAGCAAGGGTCTTCTATTCTAGTCTTTAAGGTCTAGCATCCCACACCTTTTAGATAAACTGCTTCCAGAGATCAGTTGGTTGAATAACCTCCTCAGTATGCAGTCAATTCCACTGAAGTGCTGTTAATGGCCTAATTATTTGACTCGAAGTGGAGGCATATCTAAAAGGTACAGGATATCTGACCTGGAATTGAAGAACCCTTTCATAGAGCATCAGTCATCTTAGAGCTAAGGGAATAAAATTCTAGCAAAAATACACATAAGGAATGTTGTTGCTAATCTATGCTGTTTAACCTAGTCAAAATGTCAACCGTATTCATTTGTCTTTCTTTAAGAATAAATGCAACCCAGTTATTTTAAGCAACTGCTCTCTCATATGCATGTGTGGCTTGCTAGCCCCTTTGTTCCCTGTGTTAGTAATGCTTAAAGAAGGCAAACAATAATGACTGCCTTTCCAATATCCTGTTGTAGTAAAACAGTAACTCCATGTCCAGGAAGCCTCAGTTCTGAGAAAACACACAAATAGTATCCCAATCTCCGACTGGAACTCTCATCAAAGAAGGAGATTAGTAACTGCTGCGCCATCATTCTGACAGAGTCATGGCTGCATCCAACAATACCGGACAATGCTATTAACCTTGAGGGGCTCACGCTATACCGCGCCGATAGGTACAAAGAACAAAGCGGGAAGACTTAGGGTGGTGGGCTCTGTGTTTACATCAACAACAGCTGGTGCAAGAACGCTAGATCAGTAGCCAGCTCCTGCTCTCCAGACATCGAGTTTCTTACTGCTAACTGCAGACCTTTCTATCGGCCCAGAGATTTCAATGTGGTTAGCATCACTGCTGTTTACGTGCCCCCGCAGTGCTAACACAAAAGAAGCCATGAAGACTCTATACCAGGCTATCTCTGAGCTCCAATCTGCACATACAGAGGGTGTTTTCATTATTGCTGGGGATTTTAACCAGGCTAACTTGAAGACTGTTATCCCTCATTTCTACCAACATGTGGACTTTGCAACTCCGGGTGAAAACATTTTAGACCTGGTTTACTCTAACATCAAAGATGCATTCAGAGCAGCTCCCCGCCCCAACCTCAGTTAGTCAGATCACCTATCTGTCATGCTTATCCCTGCATATACGCCCCAGCTAAACAGGGCTAAACCGACAGCTAAAGAGGTCCGTGTGTGGTCTGAGGGCGCCATGGAGACATTCCAAGACTGTTGTGAATGCTCCGACTGGAACATCTTCAAGGCTGCAGCAACATATGACAACCCCAGGTTCACCACCAATCACATCGTGAAGTTTGCAGACAACACCACAGTGGTGGGCCTTATCAGTGATGACAATGACCAGAACTACAGAGAGGAGGGGGAGCAGCTGGTGGACTGGTGCAAAGATAACAGCCTGATCCTGAATGTTGAGAAGATGAAGGAGATCATCTTGGACTTATGGAAGAACCAGCCTAACCACGCTCCACTGCTCATCAACAGCTCAGCTGTAGAGGTGGTCAACAGCACCAAATTCCTGGGGGTGCACATCACAGACACCCTCACCTGGAATGTAAACACCACTTCACTGATCAAAAGGGCCCAGAAGCGCATGCACTTCTTGCGGAGGATGAGGAGAGCCCACCTGCCCCCACCTATCCTCACCACCTTCTACAGAAGCACTATAGAGAGTGTTCTGACCAGCTGTCTCACTGTTTTAAGCTAAATTTAATTTTGTTTACACTTTTTATAAAAAAATGACAAAATAAATCTGTCTAAGTCTAAGTCTAATAGGATAAATATATGAGAGATACTGATGTAGATCAAAGGTAGGAATGAAGCACAGTACTAGCAGTCCAGAGGCCAGAAGCACAAGGAGAAATATATTGCAATTAACCATACTACGTCCCTAGTAAAGGCCAAGCCAGTAGCTTGGTTACAACGCTGCCCATGTCCCCACAGAAGCCCTCCATTGCTAGACCATCCAGCTCTGATCAGAGGAGACCTCTGTAGATTGTGAAGCCCCCCCTCGGTAGCTGTCATCGAGCTTCAGTGGATATCATAACAACTAACGTTATGCTCTCTCTGCTTTTTCTCACAGTAGCTTTGCCTTGTCTGTTTATGTTTGGTTGCGACACCACCCTAAAGAGAAATATCAGCTGTGCTGCTGCCATCGACACACTTGTTCATAGATCTTCGAGATCGGCCTGTTTTTCAGTGTAGTCCTGTTTCTCTGACTGTGACTGGCTTGATGTGCTCTCTTCATCCGCTGACATGGGAGTTGGCCATGAGCTTGTCTGCCTGGCTATTTGTTTCCTGGAAGGAGCCGCCTTTTGTAGTTTCCTTTTGTATCTCTGCTTCTTTCTCCTTGAACCCCTGTCAGCCTCAGCAGATGGCCGCTCACACTGAGCCTGGTTCTGCTGGAGGTTTGTTCCTGTTAAAAGGGAGTTTTTCTTCTCCACTGTCGCTACAAGGATGCTTAGTGTGAGGAATTGCCTTCGAGTCAATGAGTCGATGCAATCAACTGGTTTTCCTTAGATAGAAAACTTTGAATCAACGTGACTGTATGATCTAGTGAACTGTAAAGTGCCTTGATATTATATGTGTTGTGAATTGGAACTATATAAATAAACTGAGTTGAATTCAACTAAGAGGAAATGAAATCAGCACGGTACAGAAGCGCAAGCGAAATGCAGCTAATCCTCTTTCCCTGCACCAGGACCCCACATATTCATCCCTGGTGTGTGCATGTGTATCAGCTTCTGATGGAAGTTGAGAGCTCTGGGCATTAGGGCTTGCAAATGCCACAGTACTCAGTGTCATTCAAATACAGATGATTATGTGTTAGTAGAAGCCTTTTCAAGCAGATTATTATCCAAATTATGCGTGACACCTCGGCTTTGGGCGAAAAATCAATGGACTGGAATAATGCTGTGACCTTGAGAACTTTAGGAGGCAGGCTTGTATGCAATCTCATCGGGATGAGTAATTACAAAGCATGCAATGAGGATTTATTTATTGGCTGTGTCAACATCAATTAATTATAAACATGCCAGAAGTTATTTATTCATGTATGACAAAAAATATGTTCTGTGTTTAACAAAAAAAGAGTTTCACTTGATTTGATTTTGTGAGGAAACAAAAAGTCACAGACATTCAAAGACAGCATTACAGCGATGTTCCTCTGAGCTTTTGAGTCAATACAGGTTATCAGATGTGAGACATGGCTGGATTCATAATCCCAATGGGTAAAAGTGAGATTTCACATATGCTTCTGAGTCTATCAATAATAAAGTGTTTAAACACATTTAGAATGTCTGACTCTTGCAAAAGAACAAAATTGAAGTAAAAGTAGATGAGCTTTACAAAGTTGTTGGATTTGAACTTTAGCTCACAGAAGCAGAGCTAAGGATGGGTACATTATGTTAAATTAAAACATCCACTGACACCTAACATCCAGTTCAAGCTGTTCTAGTTCAATTCATCCATGATTCTAATGTGTTTGTTCTTCATTGGTCGGATGAACAGAGATCCTGTCAACTGTAAGAGTGACAGAGACCTTGAAAGAAGAAGAGATGGAGGGGAGGTGACACAAATTGACAGCCTGTTCTCACTTTTGCATGATTTGCTTTAGGCAGATATTGCTGTCAGATTTGAGTTTGGCCCATCAGAGCTACCCCAGAGGGACAT